CAACAGATTTTTGTCTATTGATTTTGTATCGTGCAACTTTACTGAATTTATTAATTCTAACAGTTTTTTGGTGGCATCTTTAGTATTTTCTATGTATAATACCATGTCATCTGCAAAGAGTGACAATTTTACTTTTTTCTTTGTGATTTGAATAGCTTTCATTTATTTTTCTTGCATAATCGCTCTGGCTAGGACTTCCAATACTATGTTGAATAAATACAGAGAGAGTGGGAATGTGCTTGTCTTGTTCCTGATTTTAGAGGAAAAGTTTTCAGCTTTGAGTATGATGTTAGCTAAGAGCTAGTCATATATGACCTTTATTACACTGAGGTATGGTCCCTCTGTACCCACTGTGTTGAGATTTTTATCATCAATGGATGTTGAATTGCAACTGACTGAAATACATCAAAAAGATTAAAAAAAAGAAAAAAGAAAAATGGCCCTGTAATGAACTAAGTGTTAGATGTAGAATGTACTTGGTGAGTATATGGGAGGTCATTGAACAATTATTTCAGGTGTTCTATTTGCTTGAAATTTTTCATCATAAAACTGTTAGAAAAACATATATTAGAAGGTGATAACTGCTCTGGGGAAAATTAAGCAAAGTATTGGGAGGGAGGACAGAGTGACTGGGGTGGGAGCTGCAATATTCAATAAGATCATGAAGGCTTCCTTTGAGCAGACCTTGGAAATAAGTGTGTCACAAAGTTTTAGGGAAGAATGCTCCAGGCAAAGAGACCAGTAAGTGCAGAAATGCCCTAGGGCACGTGTGTGTCTGGGATCCCCAGAACCGTGACAGCAAGGCCACCAGTGCAGCTGAAGCCAAGAGGGCAAGAGTGAGGTAGATAAACCTAGAGACGCAACAGGGAAGAAGATCCTACAGGCCTCACAGGCTAACTGTTCAGCCTTTGACTTTTAACGACTGGGGTGTAGGAATAACCTGATCCAACACCTGTGTGCCCATGATGACTCTTGTCACTGTAGTGAGACCAGTCTCAAGTGGGCAAGGCCAAAGCAAGGAGACCAGGGAGGAAACAATGGAAGAAGACAGGCAAGAGGTGATGGTGGCTCTGACTTGAAAGGCAGGAGTGGAAGTAGAAAGAAGTGGTAAGATTCTGGAGCTACTTTGAATGTAGAACTAAGAGGATGTGGGCATGGATAGTATGTGGGGGCATGGGAAAGAAAGGAGTCAAAGATGACAGATGTAGTCAGGGAAGATTACAATTAGAGTTCATTTTGCGGAAAGATCATGGGTTCATTTTGAATAGGTCAAGTTTGAGATGTCTGCTGGAATTCCATCTAGAGACATAAAACAGGCCAGGCCTTTGGATTCGGGGACAATGCAGAGACAAGCAGTGAGGAAGAGTAACCAGGGGACTGGTGGAGGGGGTGTCAGCCCTGCTGCTGACGGGCCAGGTAGGAGGAAGATGGAACAGAGACCGTGGGATTTGGGGATGGGTTATCCCCAAAGGCTTAGCCTGACAAAAGAAAGGTGTAGCCACTTCCTCAAGGCCATGGCCGACCTAATTCTTCCAGTTGCTCTTAATGGTTCTCATCACAATCTCCTGCAACTTTGTGTATGTGGGATGTGTGCACTTTGACACACAGCTCTAGATCAAGAGTCAGCAAACTAAAGCCCTCAGGCCAAATTTGTTTGTTTTAGCAAATAAAATATTATTGGGGCACAGTCATGCCCATTCAGATAGTTCAGGCCTGTTTCTGCACTCCAACAGAACCGCTTGGTTTCTAGAGACCATACGGCCTGCAAAGTTGAAAATATCTAGTTGGCTGACCCTGTCTCTCCCTCTTTCACTACAGGAATATTCTGTTGTTCCATTGTTGTTGTTCTGCTGCTGTTCTGTTACACAAGATATTTAATGATTAGACATTAGGTGCCTCCCCCCCTTTTTTTTGGCTATTAGGAAAATGTTCCAACAAACATACCTAACTGTATTTCTTTGGGCTCATGTGTACATCTGGATTGCAGGATATGAGCATCTTCAGTGTTGGTAGATTTTGTCAAATTGCTCTCCAGTGAAGTGGAATGACTCACACTTTCATCAGCAGTGTAAAGAGTTCTCATTTTCCTGTACTACCCTAAAACTTAGTATTGTATGTTGTTAGACTGTATCAGTTAGCAATGTTTCATTGTTTGTAGATTCCTTTGGGTTTTCTGGCTGTGGATGATAGTTTTGCTCCTTTCTTGTCTTGGTGCTCTGGCTGGGCCCTCCACGCAATAATGCATTTTGTTCAATGATATAATTCAAAATTTTGTTCCTGGTTCTAAAGAGAATAATGCTTAACATTTACCATAGGGCATAGTGTTTTACCATTAAGTATAATATTTGACACAGGTTTGAGTTTTTTTATTTTTATGTAGGGAAAACTCAACTAGAAAACCATCTGGACTCATTTTTTGTATATGGCTACCTGGTTTGTCTACTTCTTTTTAAATTGGTCTGGCATCGCTTCTTGGCCTTTTGGCTAAGATCAAGTGTAAATTGGTCTGGCAAACTATCTTTTTTCTAGAAAATTGTCCATTTCATCTAATTTTTTAATGTATTGGTATAAAGTTTATAATTTTATTTTGTCATTTCTGCTATATCTGTAGTTATATCCCTTTTGTATATGTGTTAGTCGCTCAGTCATGTCCAACTCTTTTCGACCCCATGGTCTGTCCATGGAATTTTCTAGACAAGAATACTGGAGTGGGTTGCCATTCCCTTCTCCAGGGGATCATCCCAACCCAGGGATCAAACCTGGGTTTCCTGCATTGCAGGCAGATTCTTTACTGTCTGAACTACAGGGGAAGCCCTTTTGCACATTGTTTATTTTATTGGTCTTTTGAAAGATCCAGCTTTGTTTTGTGGCCCATATTAGTGCTTCTGTTTTCTATTTCTTCAATTTCTGCTTTTCATTATCTTCCACTTTCTTTGGGTTTACACTTACTGCATTCTAAAATTCTTTGACACTCTGCTCATAAATTTTCCATATTTCTTCTTACCTAATATCACTAATAAAGATGTTTTACATTCTGCTTTAGTTCCCCTTACCCTCAACCTGGAGTTTTTATATGTATTCTCATTTTTAGTTTGACCCAAGTAGTTTTCATTTCCATATGATTTCATCTTGAAGTAAAGAGTTTTCTATAAGTGTTTTATATATCTGAAGACCTAGAGTTTACTCTGCTCTTGTTTGTGGTCAGAGAACATGGTAAGTATGAAACTGATTATTTGATATCTATTGAGATTTGTCTTGGGGCCTAGTAATCAGATCATTTTTTAAGATAAATGATTCTTGTATGCCTGAAAGTAATATATTGGGTTCAAGTTTCTACCAGGGTCCATTGATTAGAATTATTAATAGTATTAAAATCTTCTGTATCCTTTTTTTTTTGACTGGTCTATCAGTTACTGAACGAGGTCTTAAATCTCCCACTGTGATGAAGGATATGGCCATATCTCCTTGTATCCTGTCACTTTTGCTTCATATTCTTTAAGCCTTTTATTTTTTTAAACTCTAACACACAAGTCTGGAATTGTTCTATCTCCTTAGAAAACTATTCTTTCCATCATTTTGTGTTGACCCTCTTCATCACTAATAATGTCTTTAGTCTTAAGACTATACTTTCAGGGATCATTTCTATAATTCGTTACTTTCTATTCTTTTAGTGTTTGGAAATACTATTTACCTTCTGAAGTGTTTGGAGATACATACTTGACTTTACAAAGCCAGGTAATTACTAATTATCTTTATCCTCCTCTTCTCAAATAAATGAAGCTTCTCAGAACACTTAAATTTCAATTACCCTCTCCAGTCCTACCTGTTATCATGTCCTGATCCTTGCTCTGCACTCCACAAACTGTCACCATTCATGTTCTATAGCAGGTACTTGTTTAGTTGGACTTCCATGCTTATAGTACTTGCCATTTTTCTAATTTCTTCCCTTTAACGTTCTGCAAATTCACTACAAAGTGTTTAGATGAGATTTATTTTTATTTATTCTGTTCCAGATTTTAGGTGAGGATCCTCATCTTTAATCAATTTTGGAAGTTGTTCAGGAATTGCCTCTCCCACATTCTCTTCTCTCCTTCTGGAACGCTGATTGGACCCGAGTTCTCCTCACTTTACCATTCCTGGTCCCTTTCTTTTTTATATGTTCCATCTGGCTTGTTTTCTGGCTCATTGCTTCTGATCTTTCATCCAGTTCAGTGATTTTCTCTTCTGCTGTATCTAATAGGCTTTCTTGCCTCATCCTTTGAGAACTTGACTTTCAATAGCTGTTTTTCAATTCTAGAAATTCCATGTAAAACTTTCATGCTCCTTTTTAGTGTCTTGCTCCAAGTGTCTTCATGTGTTAATCCCCCACCCCGACCACCACCTTTATCTTTCTAATTTAACCGAGAACTCCACAAAGGCAAGGACGTTTGTTTTAGTGCTGTCATCCCCAGTGCCTCCTACCGTCCGTCCCCGGAACGGAACAGGCTGTGAGCACTGTCAGATGACACAGTGACAGTGGGGACAGGAGGATGCTGTGCCGCAGCCCGGCCCCGCCCCTCCGGCCGGCGGAGCTCCGAGTCTGCTCCCCGAGCCGCCTTGGCCTCGCAGGAGCTGCAGCCTCCCCTCAGACCCGGCCTTAGAGAGACGGCGCCCCTCCGCGCCCGCCCCTGCGCAGGCCGTGACGTCACGGGACTGTGACGCGCCCTGGGAGCCCCGCCCCGCCGGGAATACAGGCTCTCTGCGCCGTGACGTCACGGGTCCGGGCGGGTGGATTTTGCGTCGGCCCAATGGGAGAGGCGCGCCGGCCTCCCCTTTAAGGAATGTTGTGACCTGACGTCACCCAGGCGAGTTACCTCCCCGAGCCGCCGCCGCCGGGCTCAGCGAGAGCCCCGGAGCCCTTGTGCGCGAGGCGCGGAGCCCCCGGAGCCCTCGGACCGTAGCCACATCCCTGCGTCGCGCGCCCCGGAGGTCCGGCCTGCGCGCCCCGCCGGGCCGGCGCGATGCCCTCAGACCGGCCTTTCAAGCAGCGGCGAAGCTTTGGTGAGGCCCAGCGGGCGATCTGCGAGCGCGGGGTAGGGGCGTGGGGGTTGGGGCTGTTGGCCGACCGACCCGACTGCCGCAGATGACGTCAGCTCCGTGACGTCAGGCTCGGGCTGGACCCCCGGGCTGGGAAACCGGCTAGGGCCTGGGCCGGGGGCCTCTGCCTCCCATCTCTGTGTTGTGCCCGGGCTGTGGGGCCCGACGGCCCCGGGGGCGGGAGCTTCGAGGAGGCGGGGCGGGGCCGGGGCCGCCCCTCGGGTACCTGCGGGGCGGAACCTCGGCCCGGCCTCATCCCCGCCTGCTGTCCGTAGCCGACCGCTGTAAAGAGGTGCAGCAGATCCGCGAGCAGCACCCCAGCAAAATCCCGGTGAGTCCCGCCGCCCCCTCCCATCCCGGCCCGACCCAGGCCCCAACTCGGGCTCACGCGTCCCCCGCCCCACCCCGCTCCACCCCGCTCCTAGGTGATCATAGAGCGCTACAAGGGTGAGAAGCAGCTGCCGGTCCTGGACAAGACCAAGTTCCTGGTCCCGGACCATGTCAACATGAGCGAGTTGGTCAAGATCATCCGGTGCGCAGGCAGCAGCTGTCAGAGGGGGACTTGGGTTCTGCTGGGATCAGGCAGGGCGCTGGGTCTTTCGGTGAAGGAAGGGGTGGAGGTGGGGTATGGGACCGGGAGCTGGGTCCCTGTTCTGGGGAGGTTGGGAATGGTCAAGGTCAAGGCTGGGATCAGTGTCCAGTCAGAGGTAAGCGCCTCTAGAAGGGCCTGGGATGGGTGTGAAATGGAGGATCAGGGTCATTTTGGGGAGGGGGTCGGCTGCGCTCCCCAACAGCCAGGCCCCTCACAGTGTACTTGCCTCCCGCCCCCCACAGGCGCCGCCTGCAGCTCAACCCCACTCAGGCCTTCTTCCTGCTGGTGAACCAGCACAGCATGGTGAGCGTGTCCACGCCCATCGCGGACATCTACGAGCAGGAGAAGGACGAGGATGGCTTCCTCTACATGGTCTACGCCTCCCAGGAAACCTTCGGCTTCTAAGCCAGCAGTAGGGGGGGTTGGCTTGGGCATGGGGGGGGGGGGGTGCTATCAGGCTCTGCCCAGGGAGCTCCTCGCACCTGAACTGAGCTGCCTCTGCCTCTGCCCCTGGTGGGTGGGACAGAGGTGCCACCTCCTAGCCAGGGGGTACCAACTGCACCTCCTCTGCCCCTGGGTGGATCCTGGCCCAGTTATGTTAGGGGGTTGCTCTTCTGGGTGCTGGCTGGGATTGGGGAGAGTGGGGAGCAGCCCCCAGCACCCCTGCTCTGTGTGGTTTGTCTTTTTTTTAGGCCCCTGCCTGTCTGCCCATCTGCCCCTCCCCGACCTGAGGCGCTGCCCCTCCTGGACCTGCCCACCCCTAAAGGACTGGCCCTGGGCTCACCTGGTCTTGATGTGTATGGATCTGTGGTCACTGTCCCTCTGCAGAATAAAGATTGCTCAGGCCTGCCTGGCCCTCTGCCTCCAGCTGCTTGGGGACTGGGAAGGGCTGGCAATGGGGAGAGGACCGTCCCACACCATTTTTGGCAGGCCAGCACACAGACCTGTGTTCTGTGGACTCAGAGCTCTCAGGAGACCCACACCTGTGTGTAGTGCCCCACGGCAGTATTACAGGTCACGCCCACCCCTTCCAAGAGCGCAGTGTGGTTCCAGGGTAGACGTTTTCGTAACAAAAAACATTTATTAAGTAGCCACAACCTAACAAACCCTGCTCACCTGCTTCGTCCCCTTTCCTGCTTGGGAGGGAGGGCTCCTTGGTATGTAGAGCCACAAAGTGGGCGATCCAAGGGGAGATGCTCCTGGTGACTCCCCCCACGGACCTTGCTGCTGGCCTTGGCTCCTCACTGGTACCAGTCAGTAGTCACCCTGGACTCAAACCTCATCTGCCCTTGGACTTGCCTACTGGCAACTCTGGTTAGAGGGCTTGGCCCAGCTGCTGGCCCTTTCACCCCGGAAGTCTGTGCAGCCTTGTGCCCAGCCAGGCCTACTTGAGCACAAGCATGGCCTCCGTGCCGTCCTTGGTGGTCAGGTAGAGGCCGTGTGTGAGGTAGTACTCGCGCCGCAGGAAGGCATAGAAATAATCAGAGATGAGCAGGATCTGGGGGGGAGAGAGAGGTTGTGAGAAGCTTCATGATACCTGCCCCTGAACCTTGGGTTGCTGAGAGGCCAGGTTGGTGTTGGGGAGATGCTGCCCAAGGAACCCCCCACCTCAGGGCATACGCTTGACCCCACAGGGTCTCACTGCCCCTCAGAAGTTGCTCTACCTCCTCCACCATGATCTTCCACCCCAAGCCCTGGCCTCAGCTCTACACTGGTGCCCCTCCATCTCACCTGGGTGCCCACTGGCCCTTTCACCCCAGCCATATCCCCTGTCAAACCTGCTTCTCCCACTGGGAACCTATATCCCCCCACCTTCCATTCAGGTATTCAGGCCACAGAATCAGCAGATCTTCCCCACACCAAGCCCCCAAGCCTGTTGGTTCTGTTTCTGTCTGTCCCCACAGATATCACCCTGGACAAAGCCACTGTCATAGAAACAGCAGTAGTCTCCTCCTGCCACCCTAGCAGCAGAGGTTGCTTTTCAAAACACAAATCTGGTCATGCTGCTTCCCAGCTTAAGGCCTTGTAAAGGTGCTCCATGGCTCTTCAGGTGAAGATCAAACACACTGGGGCTCCCAGGCCTTGCACCTGGTGTGTCTACTTCAGCCTCTCCCATGCTCCACCTCACTCAGCTCCAGCCACACTGGCCTCTTCCCTCCCAGTGCCGGATCTTTGCTGTTTCCTCTGTCTGAAATGTTCTCTTTCCCTTTCATCTCATCAACACCTGCTTTCCCTTCAGGCTCAGAAAGGATCACTTCTTCAGGGAAGCCTCCCTCACACCCCAGATTGGGTCTTGAAACCATTAACTTCTATGGTACCACAGACCCATCCAAATTGCAGTTCTGCCTTCATTGGTGTGACTGCCTGATGACCGTGGCTCCTCCCCTGGCCTGGGCAGGGTCCAGAGCGATTCTGCCATCATGGTGTCTGTGCCTGGCTTGGCCTGTCTGTCCTCTGAGCCCCAGAACTGAGAGGGCCCTAGCAGCGCAGTCCACCAGCCCCTCTCCCTGATGCCCTGAAGTGAACAGGGATTTGCCAAGGCCCCCGAACCTTGGACCTGCAGTCTTACAATTCCATTCATCCCAAGCTCCCAGGACCTCTGGTGCCTGAAACAGGACAGATGTGGGAGACGGGCTCACCTCTGCAGACATCACCAGTTCTCAGGCACTTAAAAGCCTTTCAGACTATCTGCACCAGCCACCTCAGCACAGATGGGGAGATGTAAGCCCAGAGCTAGAGCAGCACCTGGCTAAGGCCTAAAGAGAAGTCAGAGGTGGGCGGTGGAGCCTGGGGTCTCAGCCTCTGACCCCCCCAGGCCCCTGTCCTGGAAAGCATCCCTCACACGTGGGCAAGAAAGAGCACAGAGGGATCTGGAGGCGGCCCTCGGAACCCACAACATCAATGGCCTCAAGACCACGACCTGCCATTCTGTCACCGCAGGAACTCATCTGGAAGGCTGATGGAACCCATTTTACAGATGAGGAAACTGAGGCACCAAGAATTCAGTAGTTGGCCTAAGGCTGTACTGGGAGAGCTGGGCTGGTGGTCATCACCCTGCAAGGTGATACACCTGGGGCCCAGCATGTAAAAGGCCCAGAACCCAGCCACTGAGGCTGTCAGAGCAGAGGCCCTGAGGCCTTGTCCCATAACTGCCCTGGGGTACAGTTACCACAGCAAGGGCAGTCCTCACCCCCGGCAGTCACTTTCTCACCCAGGTCCAGGTGCCTGGGGAAGGGGCGCCTGGAGCTGGTGGGGACTGATCCCTGAGCCAGGTCAGGTGACGGCAGGTGCAGAGTCACAGTTCATAACAAAACTCCAATGTCACACATAATCAACTGGCCAAACAGGAAGTCAAAATACTAGGTTATTAGTTTGAACCATAAGAAACTGCCATTTATGCAGATCAAAAATGGTTGAGTATTAACAGTTTCATATGGTTCAACTTAATATAAACCAGAAGAAAATCAAGAAAGAGTAGTAATCTAGAAGTACCAGAGCAAATAAGGAGCTATTCTTTCTCCTTATAAGCCTAAACTTTGTAAATTATATATTCAAGTTATGGTGATAAAAATTAAAATCCAATTAAAAAAATCAGTCAATAAATGACTGAATAAATAAATAAATGGAGAATTCTTTTTGGAATCCTTTCAAGAGAATTCCAAATAATATATGTAGAGACTCTCCCCTTAGGAGAAGGAATTTAATTCTTACTCACTCGTCACCCCCTGCCCCCGAGCTTAGGGTAGACTTCGTGACTCACTTCCAAAGAACAGGGAAAAGAGAAAATAGCAACTCTGCACTGGAGAAGCCTGGCAAACACTATCTTAACCAAACGATGAAGGGTAAACAGCACGAAGTGTGGCTAGTGTATACTGCCTGAGCTTTCCAAAAACCTTAAATGTGGCCTCATGATGAGAAAAGCATCAGACAAACCCAAAGGGGACACTCTTCCGGGATACCTGGCCATGATACCTCAAGACTGTCTGTGTCACAAGAAATTAGGAAAGGGAGTGGGAGTAGAGGACACAGGGGAGATGTGACAACTGCATGTAGTGTGGTACTGGGGGCTTGATCCTGGGAGAAAAAGAAGACATTACAGGGAAAGCTGGTGAAATCCACATCAGATCTGGGGTTTGGTTAGTCAACAGACTAACAGTTACCAGGGTCAGTTTCTTGGTTTGGACAAACACTCCATGGTAATGGGGCTTCCCAAGTGGCTCGGTAGTAAAGAACTTGCCTGCTAATGCAGGAGACATAAGAGTCATGGCTTTGATCCCTGGGTGGGGAAGATCCCCCAGAGGGCATGGCAACCCACTTCAGTATTCTTGCCTGGAGAATCCCCACAGACAGAGGAGCCTGGTGGGCTACAGTCCATGGGGTTGCAAAGAGCTGGACATGACTGAAGCGACCGAGCATGTACACACTGTGGTAATATAAGATGTTAACATGGGAAACTGGGTAGGGGGCATATGGAAATTCTCTGTACTATAAATTTATTCCAAAATTTAAACATTTTAAAAAGCAATGTATTATTGTTATATGCAACAACATAAATGAGCCTCAAAAATATCTTGCTGACTGAAAGAAGGCTTCAGGAAATGTATGTGAAGATTTGTGTTTTTCCATTAATAAAGGAAACTGAAGATGACTCGACGAAATGGAAAACTATCTCATGCTCTTGGATTGGAAGAATTAATATTGTTAAATTGGCATGCTACCCAAAATGATCTACAGATATAATGTGATCCCTATCAAATTACCCATGACATTTTTCACAGAACTAGAACAAATAATCCTAAAATTTATATGGAACCACGAAAGACCCAGAACTGCCAAAGCAATTCTGAGGAAAAAGAACAAAGCAGGAGGCATAACCGTCTTTCAGATAATACTATGAACTGACTTCAGATAATACTACAAAAGTTACAATAATCAAAATGTCATGATACTATCACAAAAGAAGATATGGATCATAGAATAGAAAGCCTAGAAGTAAATCCACACACCTCCAATTAATTTTCAACAAAGGAGGTGAGAATAATCAACAGGGAAAAGACAACCTCTTCAGCAGGGGTGTTGGGAAAGCAGGACAGCTGCATGAAATCAGCAGTAAGAACACATCCTCCCACCATACACAAAAATAAACTCAAAATAGCTTAAAGACTTAAACGTAAGACATGACACCATATAACTGGAACACAGGCAACATTCTCTGACATGTAAATTGTGTCAATGTTTTCTTAGGTCAGTCTCCCAAGGAAATATAAATAAAAGCAAAAACAAATAAATGGGACCTAATCAAGCTTATAGGTTTCTGTACAGCAAAGGAAACCATAAACAAAATGAAGAGACAACCTACAGAATGGGAGAAAATATTTGCCAATGATGTGACTGACAAGGGCTTAATTTCCAAAATATACAGCTTATACAGCAACCCAACAGAAAAATGAGCAGAAGGACTAAATAGACATTTCTCCAAAGACGACATACAGATGGCCAACAGGCACATGGAAAGATGCTCAACGTCGCTAATTATTAGCGATAAGGAAATCAAAACTACTATGAGATATCACCTCACACTGGTCAGAATGGCCACCATTAAAAAGTCCACAAATAACAAATGTTCTGGAGAGGGTGTGGAGAAGAGAACCCTCCTATACTGTTGGTGGAAATGGAAACTGGTGCAGCCACTATGGAAAACAATATGGAGTTTCCTCAGAAAATTTAAAAACAGAGGTGCCATATGATCCAGCAATTCTGCTCCTGGGCATATGCCCAGAAAAAAACCTATAATTCAAAAAAGATACATATCCACAGCAGTACTATTCCCAATAGCTGAAACGTGGAAACAACTTGAATGTCCATTGATAGATGAACAGGTACAGAACACACACAGAGTACCACTTGGACAAAAAAAATAAAGAACCAAGTAATGCCCATTTGTAGCAACATGGATGGAACTAGAGATCATTATACTAAATGAAGTAAGTCAGAAGAGAAAGACAAGTATCATATATCATTTATATGTGGAATTTAAAATATGACACACATGGACTTCTCTACAAAACAGAAACAGACACACACATAGAGAACAGACTTGCAGCTGGCAAGAGGGTGGTGGGGGAGGGACTGCGTGGGAGTTTGGGGCTAGCAGAAGCAAACTGTTATATATAGAATGGAACGACAAGGTCCTACTACACAGCACCAGGAACTACATTCAATACCCTGTGATAAGACACAATGGAAAAGAACATTAAGAAAGACAGGGACTTCTTTGGTGGTCCTGTAGCTGAGACTCCACGTTTCCATTGCAGGGGCACGGGTTCGATCCCTGGTCAGGGAACTAAGATTCTGCATGCCACATAGCAGCCAAGGGGAAAAAAAATGTATATAACTGAATCACTTTGCTGTACAGCAGAAATTAACACAATTTTGTAAATCAACTATATGGCAATAAAATTTTTTAAAAAGATTTTCATTGTATGTAAATTTCACATA